GTTCTCAAGTCAAAAAGTCTGTAAGTCAAGTCTCCATTGACCTACAGTGCATTGAATACCGATTAATCCCGTAACAGGCCGTTTTTGTTCCATTTTGGTTTTTTTCTGGTCTGTAAGTCAAATCTCAGTCTGCAAGTCAAACCTAAATTTTGTGGCCAGAGAAGTCTGTAACTCAAAAAGTCTGTAAGTCAAGCCGTCTGTAAGTCAAGGGTCCACTGTATTGAAAACGACTTGCTCTCGTAAAAGGAAGAGGCAGGGAAAGAAAGCAGAAAGGGCCATTTCATCCATGCTGGGCTCTGAGGAACGCTCACAGACAAGGCGTCATGGTGGGACTGGCCAGAGACACTCTTTGACTGTGTTTTGGACTGCAGATCCCAGAATCCTTGCCCCTGGGCCTACGGCCTGGGACGTCTGGAGCTGAAGTCCAGCGACATCCTGAGACCTACGTAAGTGTGGCAGCCATAGTTCCAAGGAAAGCGTCTTATTCATTTTCACACCTTTTCTTGCTTCCTCTCCTGGTCTTTCTCCATTAAATTCACATCCTCACAACAACACCTGAGCGAAACATCGCATCAAGCGGTGATCATGTGCACACACAAAGCAGGAGCAATGGGGGAGAACAAGGTGGGTGAAGGTGGCACTCGTTTGGATAATTTTTAAAAGGAAAGGGGGAAAAGATGAGCAATGTTTGAACGGGGAAAAGGCATGGGGGCAGATTCTTGACTCTTTGGAGGTGGTGCGGCAGACACTTTTCTGAACAATTAAAAATATTTTGCAGTGTATTTAATAAAAATACAGTACATGTATATATAAGCAAAGGAAAAAAGCAAAGTGTGCTACTTATGTACTGTATTTTTCCACTTTTATAATCCAAAATTAAGAAATCTAAGTGGGGTTTAGCAAGTGTAGGGGAAAAGGGATAAAAGCACTGCAGGATCTCTTTGATCCCTCCTTTCCCCTCCACTTGTTTTTGTTCTCACCTCAGCTTACTTCCATGTATAAGACGACCCTCAATTCTTAGTCTAAGATTTTTGACAAAAGTATAGTCTTACACATGGAAAAATATGGTATATCCCTCCCCATATGCTTTTAGCACTTTCTGGGCAGTTCACAATTTAATTATGCAGGCAACACATTGCCCCCACCCCCAAGCAAACTGGATGCTCCATATACGGGCCCCGGAAGGACAGAAGGTGGCTTCAACCTTGAGCCAGCTACCTGAATACGTTGGGATCAAAATCAGGTCGTGAGCAGAGTGTTGACTGCAGTACTGCTGTTTAACGACATAAGGCTCCTTCATTGAAATGTAGTACACCAGTGACAAGTGATGAAACAAGTAACTATCTTTATAGAGGCAAGCAAAAGCAGGTACTTACTTTCCAAGAGCATTGAGTAACTATAATCTAATAATGATAACCTTATGGTTGTTGTAATGATAACCTTAGATCTGCAGAACCGGAAGGGATCCTACGGATCATCCAGTCCAGCCCCGGTCAAGGAGGCACCGTGTGGGAATTGAACTCCCAACCAGACCTAAACCACATAGCTATCGAGACACTCCTCTATCCAACTAGTATCTATTCTGAAGAGCAAGATGCTAAGATCAGATCATGTGCACTACAACAGTTGTATTTTCTGGTGAAGGATGCTAGTTATTGATTCCATGAGCGGTCTTGTTTCTGTGCCTCAGCTTTCCTGAGCTGCAAAATGGGATCAATGAACTGTATGTACTGTATATGTTTTTCCATAGACGTTGTTGCATGAGTCTCTGGGCTTCCGCCATGCAGACCTGTTTGCTTGCATACTGTTGAAGCTTCCGGTTTCTGCAAACAGTACATCTGAGTCTGGACAAAATAAACGTCCACAATGCAGGGTTGAGTTCTCCTCCCAGCCATGGTGCTTTCCAACAATGCTCTTCCTGCTACCTCACCTATCATTTTTTAAAAAATTTGGGTGTCAGGAGCAGCCACTATGGACTTCTCCTCCTCCATCACGGCCCGCTGGCTGGACGGCAGCTTTCCAGAGTGTCTGTAAAAAGAAAAATACTTTGGTGGTGGCTGCTGGCCAGGGAGGAAGCTGTACTTTTGCCTGTGATTTGTTTAGCTCCATGCTGTTGGAACTAAGGGATGTGGTGGCGCTGTGGGTTAAACCGCAGAAGCCTCTGTGCTGCAGGGTCAGAAGACCAGCAGTCGTAAGATTGAATCCACGCTACGGAGTGAGCGCCCGTCACTTGTCCCAGCTCCCGCCAACCTAGCAGTTCGAAAGCATGCAAAAATGCGAGTAGATAAATGGGTACCACCTCAGTGGGAAGGTCACGGCGTTCCGTGTCTAGTTGCACTGGCCACGTGACCACGGAGATTGTCTTCGGACAAACGCCGGCTCTAGGGCTCGGAGATGGGGAGGACCACCGCCCCCTAGAGTCAGACACAACTGGACTAAATATCAAGGGGAACCTTTACCTTTGTGGGAACTTGTAGAAATTCTTCAGTTTAACTTGGGTGCATGACTGCAGCCTTGCTAGATTGACCACCACAAAATCACTTCCTGTTGCGGTGCTCAGCATCCTTGCTTTCCGTCACGGGCCTGCTGCTGCCATCATCATCACCCCCTTTCCTCTGGGCCTGTTGGATGGCAAGACAGAGGGGGTTGTGATATTACTGATCCTAGATCAACGGCTTTCAGCCATCGGCCCCCGGATGTTCAGGGCTAGAGAGGCACATGAACCAGGAAAAAAAAATGACAAATTGGGGTGGTTCGTGTTTGATGGCTACCCACAAAACACAAACTACTCCTGAACCCTTGGGGGAAAAAAGGAACTGGTTCATGATTTGTGTCTTTTGGGGGGTTCATGTCTGAGAAGAGGGAAACCCCTGCCTTCTGCCCCTGTTGCGTCCTTCCTGATTCCTGCCACCTCCTCCATCTTCAGAGACGGCGGCCTGGCATCCCTTCCGGCAGCCAGTCCTGCTATATATGAAGATGGCAGTAATGGAGAAGGAAGAAGAGGTGGTGGCCGGAGCAGGTAGGGAAGGTGATGAGGGCAGTTGAAAGGGGTTGGGGAATCTATTTCGCCAAACAAAGCACTAGAGGGGGAAAAAGTTAGATTCTTTGTTTCGCTTCGGCAAAACGGAACGCACAACGCGAAGCATGAATCGAACCATGAACCAACCTGGTTTGTAGGTTCCCCCCCCCCAGGTCATAGTTCACTTTGGGCCCATCTCTGCTTAGGAGCTATGTATGCCTCCTCAGATAGAATGACTTGTATCACCATCAAGGGAGGTACCATGTCAACTAGGCGCCATAAATGCGCATGTATAAATTTATGCACACAGACGCCAGAGTAGAAATGACTTCTGTACCTTAAACAATGCTTATCATTTCATAGTTTTGCTGAATTGTGTACTTTAGTCCATTTCATTAACCGATTAATTGCTAAATCCATTTTGCTTGAGTGGAGAAGACCGCCACCAGATGACTCCTGTGCGTGCTTGTGATTCTGCAAACGCAGCGCTGATCACTGTGGAAGGAGATCAGCTCCACGCGCCCCAGACTCCCTTCCTGGAGAAATTTGGACTGGAGAGGCCTTCCAGTGGAGGACACTCGCCCCCAAAAGGAGGATCCTCTTCTGGCAGCCTTCAAGCAGAGGACTGTCCTCTCACACACCAAAAGAGGACCTTTGGTCGCTCCATGTTGCACGCTCCGCTTCCTTGATCATGCACGATCTTACTGGGGTCTGCTGGGCGTTGAAGTTCAACAATGCCTGGGGACCCAGCTTTGGGAACCACAGATCTGGAGTGTGCTCTGTGGTCGGCATTTCGCTTCAACCATACATGCCAAGGCACGTCCTTGTTTGGATCTGAGTTACCTACCTGGCAGCCCAACCATTCATGCTTGCTATAGGTGTGCATTGTTCTCTACCTTTCCAATTGGTTCACCCCCCGAGGCTTCCCATGACAAGGGATGTTACACACCACATCCATTTACACAGCTTCTGAGTAGTTTAGACAGTCCGTTTAAGGTTTCTTCTGCAGAAACTGCAGTAGCCCAGTTAAGCCTCTGCTCACAACCTGAGTTCAGTCCCATTGGGTTCAGGAAGCTGGCTCAAGCCTGACTCTGCCTTCCGTCTTTCCGAGGTTGGGGGGAGGGTAGAGCGTTCCTTGCATAATTATGCTCTAAACTACCCAGAGAGTGATTGGGCACTATGGGGCGGTATGTAAGTCGAACAACAACCACCCCAACTCCCACTGTGATCTCAAAGCACACCCACGATTTATGCTTCTTTATATTCAGCCTGTCTCTTATTAGGGGTTGTGTCCATTTTGCTACAGGAGGACTTGGAGGTAACTCATCAGGAGTGGCTTTTCTTGGTCAGTCTTCCTGGGAATGCTCTTGAGTTAACATTTCTGGAGCTTTGAGGCTTGGCTGATTTTATTGTGATTGCAGAGGACAAAATTCCTGTGATATCCTAAGAAGGTGACAGCGTCTAGAAATAAGGCACAGTCTCCATTGCACCACCATGTCCTGAGAAATGGTTTCTCGAAACATTCAAACAACCTTTCTGATTAAATAAAGCCGATCCCAAGGGGGGAAAAAATGGAGAACCTGGACATGGAGATTTGGAGAGACGTCTTTAGGGACCTGATGGAACTGGTGAAACCTGGGGATGCCTGGAAGTTAACCCTGGACCAGAAACGTGACTTCAACGAAGTGCTGTCTGGATGGAAGAGATACCTGCAGAGGCGGGTCTGTGCAAGGTAAACAACTCAACGACCCTTGACTAAACTGGGAATGATTCTGCAATGCATCGTCGCCCTTTTGGCCTTCAGTATCAGCCACATTTTGATTTAAAAATATTGGGAACCTGAGCTGAAGGTCTCTGAGCACATGCAGAGTGCCTTGAGGTCCCCCCCCCCGTTTATCTGCCTGTAACGGAAGCCAGAGAGTTCCAGAAAAACATCTACTTCTGCTTCATTGACTATACAAAGGCCTTTGACTGTGTGGACCACAGCAAACTATGGCAAGTCCTTAAAGAAATGGGCGTGCCTGACCACCTTATCTATCTCCTGAGAAACCTATATGTGGGACAGGAAGCAACAGTTAGAACTGGAT